GAAGTGTCATTTTACATGGCCAGCGTGGCGGAGTAGTTAATTTCCGGGAATAAATTTATACTATTATAAAGTTCCCGGCGGAGAGCCTGTGCTAGGAGTCTAAGGGGAAGAGGGGTTGCCATCGCCGACAACATGTCAACTGAAGTCTGTGTGGCGAACTTTTGTCCTGCCGCAGTATACAGGGGACCCTTCTAGGGGCTATTAAAGGGGATACAAGGAGTTTAGACTACATCTCACATGAGCATCAAAGGGCAAATTGAAACCGCTGGCTGTAGAAGGCACACATAAACCTCAACGCTTCAGCTGGCTTCATGCCGCTTTTGCGTTACAAGTTACAAGGGTTGGGTGCAGACCTTGGGAGCGTAAAGTAGGCCCTGCACCATGGCAAAGTGTGGCTCGAAATTTCTCGCTACTATGATCTGTCCATATCCTCAATACTGCTGATAGTAGAGAGCGAGAGATGGCAGGCCATGTACAGGCACTCCTGCTCTTGGTTGTCCTGATGCTTGATCTGGTGTAGCCACGCATCAGACTTTGGTGGAGGGCCTCTTTTCTCAAACGTGCCTAACACCACTGACCAAAACGATGCGAACTGGGCCGACATTTTAGCATTCCGTCTGTGGGAAAGTTGACCACACATCGCATGTACGTCAAATGCCATAGCATTCCCAGCCTTTTTGCTTGCTTGTCATGCGCAGGCGTGGCTGGAACCTTTGCTGCGCGGGCCCGACAAGGCTGCCCTCGCGCAAAGAGAGTGCAGACCGATGTGTGCACACTTGTTACCTTAGATCCTCATGTGCAGTCCACAACCTAGGCATATCAGAAATGGCTCCAGAGGCTGGGTTCATGAGCTTCTGCTTCCAGAGTTGAAGACACGGTAATTTCAGCCAAAGTATCCCAGGCTTCTCACAAAGCGGCCTATGCATCCGCTGAAATGAAGCGTGCCGCTGCCGCTGCAAGTCACGCTGCAGTTTGGGCAAGCTGCCAAGATGTTGTGTTGGGTCCAGGGGTTCCAGTGTGTTGCAAGCTTGAAATGCGCATGCGACTCGACATCATTGTGTAATCGAGGCGCGGCAGAGCGTAACGCATGCGGCAGACAAAGCGGTCACGACAAAAAGCGCAGTAATCTTAGCAAAGCTGCTGAGGTGGTTGCCTGGCATCTATTGGCTTTAATATTAGTACTCTGCTGTGAGGTGGAGCGCGCAAAGACCGCAGCCAGCAGCGCAATGAGCCTGAACCTCAAGAGAACGGCAGGAACAGAAGTACAGCGAGTGTATGGTCCTCGGAAAGGATGTGAGTGGCAAAGGTGAATGCAACCGCGCAAGAGCTTGCCTGCCACATGAACGCTGCAGATAATCACAGCATGTTTAAGCCCATAGCATGCTGTTGCTTGTCATTGCAAGCTTTCCAGCCCTCCCACCGCTAGAAAGAAATTGCAAGGACAGATGTATATGTCAAACTGCTGCAGCTGGGGCTGGATCTTGTGTGCAGTGAATGAGAGATGCGGAGGTGTGAGTTTGTTAGTGTTAGGAAGCATCAGTGCCAGCTTTCTGGCGCGCGGCTTCTTTTTGCAATCGTGACCTTTTTGCATGTGGACGTACAAAAACTGCGGCTGGATTTTCTCTCCCAAACTCTGAGTTCCTTCGGCCGGAATCGGCGGCTATTTCTGAAGCAACCAGACGCTGCGGCAGGTCCAGAGCGTGTGACGACCTTTTCAGGGGGAGGTTCCCTTGTTCAAAGGCAGGAATCCAGTGTTGAGCGAAATAAGTTCATGTCCCACATGAGGAGGATAAGGCATGATCAGACAGTTTTGGCCTCCCTTTACGTTGCCTGCTGAAACTGGCGCCCCACAGCACCAGTTTTGAAGCAGCACCACTGGCACAACCAGGAGCAGCAGCAGAGCTGACTGACAGCTCGTTTTGCATATTCATGCTAGTGCGTGATGTGTGTTCAACCAGATGGAGAGTCCGAGCGTTTTCAGACTGAGGTGCTGCACGAGTCAGCGTGACCAGTGCAGCTCACAAGGCCAGGAAGACGTGGTAGTTTCCTCAGCTAGGAGAAGCCCAATATAGACCCCAATAATACTATGGTCCTGGTTATAGGGACCCCGAATGAGGTACCCCTAATTTTGGGAAGCCGCAATATGTATGATGCGGAACTGGGCTTCTCGCCATATATCAGGCCGAGGGTGCCAAGTCGATGGTCAGCGAGGCAATGGGGATTCGATTTATGTCACAGTTGTTGGCCCCTTGTCTCGATAAGGCAGCTGGGGCAGCCAGGAACAGTGTTGCCCATCTGGTATCTACTTCGGCAGCGCCTTTTGGCTTATTGCGAGCCAGATGTTTTCTGCGTACATGTGGGGAAGATGTAGGTCGATTTTGACTGTACAACAACTTTTGCCAGCTTGGAAATCCAGGTCAGACGCTGTGGAAAATTCTGGGCGCGTGGCCGCATGCTCAACTGGATCCGGGCATATGGACCATGCTGGTTTTGCAGTCATGGGCATCCTGATGGCTCGCAGCATTTCATTACAAAAGCTTTTCCTAGTACGGCGATGGTCTCATCACAGATGAACTTGAGCCCCTGAAGTATCCAGGCACGCCAGATGACCAGCGAAGCCAAGCAGAAGGTTTCGGGAGCAACTGAAGCTGCGAAGGCATCCTGTCCTGACCCGGGCCTAAGTATTTCAGCATTCTAGTTCCCCTTAAGTGGATAGAATATGGGGTATATGGGGATCTTATTATATTATACCCAAAGCCATACTCTATCTGCGTAAGGGGGACTATAAGCTGGTATCTACTTTTGGAACCCTTGACCAAACCTCTCTACTTGAAGAGGCCCTTTAAGCACCCTGCACATGGACGGAGCACAAACCCTCTTGCTTTATCTCCCAATTGGCTATTCCCTGAGCACATGTAAGTAGCACACGTATCGTTGGGATCCTCTAGCAAAAAGAAGGGCACACACTGTCTTGAGATCCGCGAGTCTGAAAGAATATTGCAGAAGCTACTGGATATTATGGAGAGATACAATCCCCCCCCCCAAAGGGACATTAGTAATACTAAGCATAATAATGGTATTAATATTAGTAATAAAACGAGTAACTCAGACCTCACAACCCTGAACCCTATGCCCCAAAGGGACCACAATGCACTCAAGAACTCGATGCTGGGATCGTGATGCAAGGCCCAGATCGCCTCGATGTCCAAGGGCATGGCCGGATTTTTCAGAAAATCATAGAGAAAAGATCCTCGTTTACGGCGATTATACAAGGGTTATCCAGGAAGAATGGAAAAGAAAATGAGAAATTACATCCCGCAAAGGATCCTTGGACGCTACGAAGAGTTGATTTTGCAATACATGGCATGAACAATATATATACGTATATATAAAAGAATTGATAACGATTTAAAAGATCGGATCAAGGATAATAGATTTTTTTGATAGAAATAATTGATATTCGGCATATATATATATATACGCGGCTAAATAAGCAAAGATAAATAATGAATGAACATATATATATAGATATAAACTATATATAGATCATAGAAGATAAATGGAGAAATATACAGAGAATCGAATAGAAAGATAGGAGATGAAATAGAAAAAAGATGAATAACTAGCCGAATAAATATTTAAGATTCTTAAAAATATTGATGGAAAATTAGAAATATCAAAATTTCTTTTCATAAAATATTTTATAAATGAATTAGAATTACAAGGAGAAAAATTATTTGGATAATTAATTCTGATTCAATTTCTATGATTATATAAACTTGATAGAGAATAGAGAAAGATAGAATAATTAATGAAATGAATTTCTTTCATAGAAGATGAATATAGAAAGAAATGAAAAGAAATAGATAGATTATTTTTTAGAAAAGGTATAGGTGGATATAGAAATAAAAAAACATATTTAGAGAAATCGAATATATTCTAAAAAGAAATAAATAAAAGATGATAGTTTAAGAGTTTCCGTTTGAGATGGGTTTAGAGGCGGATAAATTACGTAAATATAAAATTTAGATTTTCAGGATTCTAGGCTAATCGTTGTAATAAGATGAATCTAGATTAGATTGTCACGATTCAAAAATTTATTTTTTTTAATTATATAAGAAATTAATTGAATCTGAAAATTAGCTTTATGGGATTGGGTAAAAATATTATTATTATAAGAAAGGCGTCTAATTTCGAATAGAGCGTGACGTAGATAGATTTTTGATTAAGATGGATTATCTAAGAATGATTTTTGATGGATTTAAGATCTGGATTCTCAGGGATTTGATTTTGGTCTCCTAATACGGAGAAGCGGAGAAATTGCGGATAAGATTTAAATCTTGATATTTCGATATAGTAATATTGATTCAAATTTGGTTGCCGAGATTATTTAATTATATAGGAAATTAATTGATTATAAATTAGATTATCGGGATCGGATTAAAATCTATAGATATTCTTTTTATTTAAATTTTCATGAGCCTAATTTGGGATAAGTCTTGACGAATATATTCGGGCATCTTCTAATTTTAGTCCTAGATCCCTAATAAGGTATCTTCAAAATTTTCAAGTTTGATCTCAGCGTTTTGAGATCCGAGTCTCTAAGGGCCCAAGATGCGTGCAAGAATTAATTTTTCTTCGTTTCTGCAGGGAACTTGGCGAAGGAGAGATGGAATCGATTGAAATGATTGTCTCGGGGAGAGGCCTCAGAAAAAAAAAAATTCTGAAATCAATTGTTATATCTATTCGAAAAGCAATAATTTATATTCAAATATATTCATTTTAAATAAAGATATATCTAAAATAGAATCATATATAGATAGATATTGATTGATATAAAATGATGAAAGATTATATCTTCAAAATCGAAAAGATTAATGAATTTGAATATACGAGAAAATATATGATCTCAATATTGAAATTATTTCATTTTATCAAATATTTCGAGATATTTATATATATCGTCTTAAAGATTTAAATTCTGAATCTATTATAAGGATTTGAAATAAAGATAAATGAAAATTTTGGCAGATAAATAGAAGGAAATAGAATAAATCGATAAATTCTTTATTCTAAAGGAATGAAAATTAAAGAGAAACATGATGAATTATTTATAGAAATGAGAGGTCTGAATTAATAGAATAGAATATTCTCGTTATCTTATTATCTCAAGATATAATCTTTATGATTATTATTTCAGATTTCTCATAATAATTTCGTATATCTTAAAGATCCTGATAATTATATCAATAGAATTCTCTGGATGTTTTTAAATCTCATGATTTTTAGATCTCTGAGAGAATTTGATATCCGAAAATTTTAGTTATCAGAGAGAATGGATTTCTTGGAGATACGAATTTTTTGCTAGATCTTTCTGATGATTATATTTGGGAGCCTAATTCTCTATTGAATATCTAGATAGATTATCAATATATCTCAGGATTATTTAAATGAATTCATTCTTAAAATCAGATTAGAAATAATATAGATGATGAAATAGGATCATCTATGAATATCAAGATCTTCTTAATATATCGTCATATATAAGATCATAGAATTCCAAGAATCGAAAGAAAGAGAGAGAATCTCTAATATGAAATCTATAATATAATCATATATCTGAATATCAATATATCATATCCTATATTCAATAAATTTAGGATTCTAAATCTTATTTTATCATATAGAAAAGAAATGAGGAATTAATAACGCATAAGTAATTATCCCAAGATGGGAGAACCTATCCCAATAATCTTCCGATAATCACGAGAATTATGAGAGAAATAAATAGAGATATAGCCATAATAAATAATAGATAGAAATATCGAAGAGATAATAATATAAGAATATATAAAAATAGATTCCTGAAAGAGAAGAAAAAGATTATTCTATTATAGATGAGATATCATATTCCTAAATCATATATATTTTCAAATAAATTTATTAGATATTCAATCTTTCATATTATATTAGATCGATCCGCTGGTCATGATAATATAAAGATTTATTTGATGAAATCTATAATGAGAAATCCGGCGACCAAATAATATGCAAGATCGTATATGAAAGCTGATGAATTATCAATATTTTAAAACCGCACGTGATATTCTGAAAGATTTTAGATCTCCGCCCCGGATCTTCATATTCTTCCGCACGCAGCCAGACAAAGAAAAAGAAATAATTCGAAATCGTGAAATTGTTATTGGTCGCATTGCCCTTTGCTCGTGTAGCCCCGCAACCAAGCCGACCTTTCCGCCTCATTTATCTCTCTCTTGGGTTATCTGCACGACGTCTCGGGAGAACACGTAAATCTCCGTGAATAGATACGATCAATTTCTAAATTCTGAAAGATTTTGATTTTCCGTTCCGGATCTATATACTCCTCCGTCAAGCAAAACAAACAATAAATCACGCGGATTATATAAGACCGCACATATATCTCGACGATCAATCAATATATATGACCGCACATATTCAAAGACGACCAACCTAATAAATCCTGAAAGATTTTGGATCTCCGTTCCAGCTCTATCCCGAGCCGCCGCGCAACCAGCCAAAGAGAAATGATTCGAAATCTCGAGAGATTTTTAATTGTCCAATTCCCGTATCCGAGCCGATCTTCTCTTGGATTATCTCGTAGATAGAGGCGGCCAATCCAAAGATTTTAGGAGAATCTCATTTTCCATTTCGGATTTATGCGCTCCGCCGAATAATCGCGCAAATAACCAAAGCGAAATAAATCACGTAGAAAATCGCTCCGGAGGCAAAGACCGCATCGGAGGTTTTTATTCGTGTCGCCCATACCAAAAATCTCGAAGATTTTAGAGCCTCTAGTTATTCCGAAAGCTTTATAATCTCCGAGATTTTGGAATCCCTAGTGAACCAGCAACATCTTAATTATGAGCCGTAAAATCTAGGTCGCACGTAAGCGAAATAATCATAAATGCCCTCCTATTAATTATTCTGAAATTCCAGAATTCAAAAAGAAAAGATTATCAGCTATATAGATAATCGAATAAATTAATATATAGATTATAGAGATTATTATCAATAAAATGAAAATCCGATAAATTCGATAGATATTTTTCGAAAAAAATTGAAAGAATATATCAATTTTCAAATCCTCATAATTTCAGAATTCTATAAGTGCAGAGAATATTTTCAATTATTCAAAGAAAGAGAAAAATCATATAGAAAAAATATTATCTAAAATCTCAAATATATCATTATTTTATCTATAAGTTTCTTACGATCCTCGAGAAAAAAGAATCAAAAAAAGTAAATTTCGTACGAACAATATAATCATGATTAGTAGTGGTATGCTATTGTACCATAGAATTGATTGTATAATCGATTAGCCACCCGATTCGACGACCGCGACAAATAACGAATTCATCAAAGAATGCTAGATGATTAAATTTGATAGGCCGACTCATTATAATCTAGAAATACGAGACTGACAGACTCAGCGACGGACAGATCATCAAATCAATAAATTGACGCACGAATAATCGTCAGACCGACGCCGGCAGCCTCACCATGCCTCACCGATAGATTGATTGACTGAAAGATTGAGAGGCTGCTTGACCGGCGGACCTTCTTTTTCAGACCGCTTGACGGATAGACTGAAAAACTGAAAAACCGGACCGACAAACAGACGGACAAACAGACTTCAGAGAATGTTAGATGGACAGAAAGAGAGACCGACAGATTCAACAGAAGATAGACGGTCAGACCAAAAAGTTGCCAGATCCACTGACATTGGTAGACCGACAGACCGTGAGACTGACAGACCGACAGACCATCAAAATCACGGACCGAGAGACGGAGAGATTGACAGAAATTTTGGTCGGCAGTGCCTGTCCACGGAGATTTATGACTTAAGAACTCCAAAAGAGTGGGGAGCGCGACCTACGCCAACGACCAAGCCGCCGCACAGACAGCCAGAGAGATCTAAATGATGCGGAGAGAAGGGTGGCAGGGGGCAGCGGGCGACCAAAAATCTTCGAGATGTTTGGTCGCACATGTCGCACCCCCCAGACCAAAAATCTCAGTGATTGTCGAACCTCGAGCTTTTCTGCAGGGGCCTACAATCTTGGGAATTGTAGAGCCCCAAAAAAGCTAGGCCCCGCGCGAGCGACATGGCCACAAGTAGCGCGCCATTTTATTGAGGTATATAATAAACTATGGCGGAGTGTCCCGATCGCGTGCATATATATATATATATACGCGTCTAAGATTGCGTGTGATCAGAAAATGGTGACGAGTTCGGCCGCTATGATAAACATAGCCGTTGATAATCATCAGTTTCTATCAGCTTAGATGAAGGCACTCCAGTTTGTCATGAATTATTGCCTACTGCATGTCTATGTTTTGAGAGGATGCCGTGCAAATGCCAACGGTAGATTAGAATGGTCTAAGTCTACGATGCTCGGCATCGCAAGAGAAGGCAAGCTCAAATCCCTAACGTGATGGGGATGATTTCAATAGATTTCAGGGCCAAGGGCAGGAAATGCAAGCCGTCAAAGAAGACTAACATGTTTTCCTCTCAACAGCCCTCGCGCAAGCTGGAGCGTCTGTCACTGAAGCTTGCGCTGAGAACGTCCTGGGCCGGTGGGCCAGGTCCTGTTGTAGGATCTGGATATCTTGACCCCACCGGCTCACTGATTGGCCCTGGTCCTGGCATCTGTCCCGCAGGTGGCGCAGACTGTCTCGCCACATACGGAGGCTGAAACCAAAAGGTTGTAGTTGGCTGCACTCGCCTCTGCCACTCGCCCACGAAACGCACTGGACTTGTGACTCCAATTCTGGTAGGGCTGGTCGCCATGTATCTTTGAACAATCGCTGGTGGACTGGTAAGGACTGGCACGGGTGCCACCGGCACAGGTGACATCCTCTGTACTGAATTCGAAGGTACTGCCGGTACCGAGTCCCGTGAAGGGAAATAGGCAGGCTGGCGCATATACATCAAAGATGCTTCCGGCCTAGCTGGTGGAGTTTGAGAACGCATCATCCAGGGCTCCATCAGGTCACTCTGTCGCTGTGGGGTTCGGCTTCGTGCGCTTACAAGTGGCGAGACAAGCTTTTCACCGCCGTTGCGCTCTGCTTCACCCGGTGGCACGTGCAATGACATGTACCGCCGACCGTCCAGAGCGCCACATGCGCCACGATCTGTTGCCAGGGGAGAAACTGGTGCAGTTGTCGAATAGAAAACAGGTCTGTCACCAGCCGCTCGTGCAGTGAAAGCCGGGGGAGGTGTGAGAAGAGCTCCACCACCCTCAGAGTCAATTCATACGGCTGTCATTGGCTGTTATGCTTCACCAGCTTTGGTATGAGTGCTGCGCATTGCGAGCCGGGTAGAACGGTGCAGCCGCCTGAGACTTGCAAGCGCTCTGAAAGCTTTCCATGAGGGCTCTGGCCAAGACCAAACTCTCAGGAGGGGACCAGGACACGATGCTCCTGTTGCTGCAAACGCCTTTCATGATTTCAATAAGTAATAATACTAGTAGTAAAAATACGAGTAGTGCTGATGACATTAATGAATATGACAATAACAGAAATAACAATAATAAGAAGAATAAGAATGGCAGAAGTTGCAGTAGTAATATACTGATAATACTATTAATAGCAAGAGTGTTAGGGTTTAAGGGTTATTTCAAGCGTCAAACGAGCCAGGCTTGCTGTCGGAGCTCTGCAAGCTGAGCCTTGCAGTCCATGGAGGACGTTGCTGAAGTGAGAGAGAGGAGAGGGCATTACTGTTCTTACTCCTACTATTATTTACTATTATTCTTCCTAGTAGTATTCCTATTATTATCATATATTCCTACTATCATTCTTCCTATTTGCATTCCTATTATTATTCCTAGTATTATTCCTATTGGTATTCCTGTTATTATCCCTAGTAGCATTCCTACTAGTATTCCTATTCTTGTTCCGATTATTTTTCCTATGAGTATTCCTATTGGTATTCCTATTCTTGTTCCTATTATTATTCCTAATATTATTCCTGTTATTGCTACTATTATTCTGACTTTCATTATTACAATCATGACTACTATCATGTTTCCTATTTGTATTGTTACTAGTCTTAGTACTAGTAGTATTCCGAATATTCTTACTAAAAAAAGTACTATCATTATTATACTTATTAATACTAATAATATTTCTAGCTTCATTGCTACTATTCTTACCACGATTACTATTACTATAACAATTAACGTACATATTACAACTACGACTATCACTATTACTATTCCTATGTGCGAGTAGGAGAGAAAAACTGGGTTGCTGTTAAGGAAGTTCATTGAAGTTACTATAATGGGGAAAAGTTACCATAATGGGGAAACCCTGTTGCTCATTATAAATATAAACATATATATATCTACCCATGATAGTAACTTATTCAAAAACCGCTTAAGAGCTGGCCTCAAGCTCCGAGGTGCGGCGACGAGCCTGATACGGTTCCAGGTTTGCGTGCTACAACAGTCCACCTGAGCCATAGTCTTAACTCCTGGTATCCCCCCTTAATGGGGTTTAAGGTATTGGGTCTAAACTCCCAGTATCCCCCTTAATAGGGTTTGGGGTCTAGGGTCTAAACTCCTAGAATCGCCCCTTCATAGGGTTTAGGGTATTGAGTCAGCATCCCCCTTAAAAATCCGTATGGTACTCCCCAATATGACCCCATTAAAGGAGTTTAGACTATAGCTCACCTCACTTCTGCTTGTTGCACGCAGGCGCCTCCCGCAACTGCTCCGGTATCTGAAACAAGTCGACCTTCACCAGTCTTGCTCAAACGCTTTGCTCAGAAGTTATCATTACTATTTCTATTGCGATTACTTTTACTTTTACTATTCCTATTACTATTACTGCTTACTATGATTACTATTACTCTTACGATTAGGATTTCTATTTCCAGGGCCTCGGGAACCTCTCGGTTCCGGTCCGGGTCTGCATCGCTTCGGCTCCGGCGAGCGGAGGTCTTGCGAAGGGCGGGTGTCTGTAATGATGAGGCAGTAGCTCCCTTGGGTTTAGGGTTTAGGGTTTAGGGGAGTAGCTCCCGTGGGTTAACTATACATACTCAAACATGAATATTAATAGTTATACTCATAGTCAAAGGAATAGTAATAATTAGGGTGTCTAGGATTCCAGGTTCCGTCGAATCCAGTACCCAGACCCTTGGGAGGATCTAAAAATTAGATCCCCTATATAGACCCATTATAATCCCTATATAACCCTTATATAATTCCCCCTATGGTTCTAGGGAATCTAATTTTTAGATCCTTTTGGGGGTCTGGGTAATCATGGAGCAATCCCTGCCTTAGGTGAGTTTGACTGTCTTCCTCGCTGCGCTGGAGGAGCTGAGGAGGCATGATCCTGGACAGCAGCTCCACGGGCCTTAAACCTCCTCCTTTTTTAAGGCCTCATAAGGGTATTATAGGGGTAGTCTAGTAATGTAGGGGGGGATATAGGTATTATATAGGGATAGTGCAAAAGAAAATGGAAACTAGGATTTAGGGTTCACCGAGGCGCAGCTCAAGCTGGGACAGTACTTTCCGTGAATAAAGGGCCCCGACAACACAAACCCTCAAATACTAAATCCTTGACCCTCACAAAGTACCGCTAGTTTTGGGAAACCCTAATCCTCATACTGCATCCCTATATAATCCATACATTACGCCTATACATCCCCTATAACCGTTATACCCCCTTTTGAAGGTACTCCTAAGTTTGGGAAGCCCCCAAATAGTGTCCTCGCGTGCAGGCCGACCTGGTCGACGGTGCGGTGACACGAACTGGGCCTGCTCCTGCGAAGAAAGCCGTGGTACGACTGGCCCCATGGATGCTTGGCCTTACTGGTTCTTAGCCAGGAATAAGGCAATATGATACATAGGGATTGCATAGGGATTAGAACCATAAACCCTGAACCCTAAACCCCTAGTTCCCTACTAACAACTAGTAAGTCGCATGCCGTGCATGCTTCGTTTCTGAGCTTTCCTCCCGAGACTTCGGCGCGTCATTGGACTTGGACTTTGAGGCCTCCTCTAAAGCATGTGCGCGGAATAGACGGGTTTAGGGTTAAGGCTAGGGGTAATATAGGGATAATGGANNTAGGAGTTATATAGGGGATATAGGGAATATATTGGGGTTATAGTGGGATAATCTATGGAAAATGAAATGGAGATTGCTATAGTATGTTGAGCTTATATTAGGGTTTAGGGTGTTGAAAACCATGACGCTCGCAAATCAACGGTCCTCCTCTTTTGAGGATTGAGTCGCCTGCCGCTTCGCAAAAATTGAAAGTGGACGATCCTGTCAGATCCGCAGACGTAAGCTTTATTACTATTATTACTACTACTAGAAATACCTGTACTACTAGTATTACCATGACAACTATTCGAAATGCTTACTATTGTTACAATATTGTTGCCAGTAGTATTGCCGTAAGTACTATTTGAAATATGGATTCCTGTTATAATTACAATTACGTACTGTTATTCTTAGTATGGAACCAACTGAAGTCCACTGAAGTCCTTTGCATCCACGGAAGCAGCACGCGGGCCATCCTCGGGGGGATGAAAATAATAGTAGTAGATGATCATAAGGGTAGTGGTAGTGGTGATAGTAACAGTAGTGCAAAAAAAATTACGACAGTTGTGATAATAATAGTAATGAATAGTAATAGTAATAATATTGCTTATATTTTCTGAGATTTAGGGTTTAGGGTTTAGGGGCTTTGGGGTAATAATGATCATAGTAATTCTAATAATAACAACAACAAAGTAATAGTAACAATTATTGTGATAGTAATAATACTAGTGTTAGTACTTGTGACAGTAATAATAAGGGCAATAATATTAGTAACATTAGCATAAAATTCGTGATGATAGCAATAACAACTATCATAGAATAAGAAGAATAATAGTAATAGTGGTAGTAAGAGTAAGAGTAAGAGTAATATTGGTAAACCACAGTGCTACTAGCTACTAATAATCGAGGTCAGGAAGTCGTGGGCCTTCTGAGAGCCGCACCTGAGGCCATGGATGGTACCTGCTTTGGGCACCTTCCTTGTGCACACCATGGGCGCCCTCCTTTTGGATAGTATCCTTCCAAGATGCATCTCTCAGATTTCCACCACTCCGACCACTTCGCACTGAGACAGTTGACGGTGTCACTTGCTTCGCAAGGCGCACCGATCCTTGGAGTGACGCCGGGTGGACAGCGTGTGGGCCAAATCCTTCAGAACGGTGGGCAACCCGGTGTCCTGCCAGGGCGGAGCACAAAATTACGCGTACAAGTAGCAGTGGCCACCCCACAGATGCGCCTACTACCCGAGACTCTAAAGACGACCGATTCAACATGGCCAGGGTCTTTATTTTGATGTTATTACACTTAATACAACTATCTTGATTACTATTGCTATGATTACTATTATCATATTTACTATTCTTATTGTTGCGATTATTCTTATGATTATTAGTATTACTATGATGCGCATCTGCAGATCTGGCTCCGAGCAAGCAGCCTTCGTTGCCCGACGGCTGGCTAGCCTTGCAGATCACAGAAACTTGCCGGGTTGCTTCTAAGGAACTAGGTGGGCTTTGGGTCCAGGGAGGGTAGAGCAACTTGAGTTAAAATACTTGTTAAGGAAGCCCCATATTTACCATATACCCACTATGGTAACTCATTTTAATTTCCTGTACAGCAGCTTGTGAAAGATGAGTTGTGGTTTCATCTTGGCTGACCATTATTGCTACTACTAGTATTACGGACATAGCTTCTTCTACTACTATTATTACTACTGGTATTACTACTCGTATCTTTTCCGTTATTGTATTTATTCATTGCTATTATCATTGCTGATATGTGCACCTCTTGTTGGCATTGTCCGGTGATCCCTTTTGGGTGCGTTGGAGCCGTGGCGGCCTGAGGCAAGTTCCCGGGTGACTTGTTTTACAATCAGCAGCAAAGTTGAAACAAAGCTGCTTCGTGTAAGCAGCTTTGGCAAATGAACTGCTTCGTATACAGCACGATCAGTTCTCAAGTTCACTCGCACCCTTGCAGAAGCCTTCTAGCCTCAGCTGGGCTGATGACTCCCGATCCATTGTCTGCTGGGCCTTGGAGGGCCTTCTGCCTCTGCCTGCGCTCAGAGATGGCATGCAAACACGCATGCGGGATCCCAGCAGCGAAGTCTGCTGCAAGAGCTTGATGGCCTCCAAATTCGGTCTGAGCTTGCCCGTCTTTCCGCGCAAGATATGCAAGATTTGTCTCCGTGCAAGGCTCCTCGAGAGAGGGATCAAGTTTGGGAATGCTGATTGTAGCTGTAGAGAAGTTACGGCTGGAGCAGCTCCTGTAGGAAGCCCATATCACCGCCAACGGACTCAAGCGTGGCTTGCACAGCAGCACTGCTGGTACTCGGCGGTGGCATCTGCAAAGGGAGATCTGCAGTCATGCTGATGCCCTGGTCCTGACAGCCAATGTAATCAGTCATGCACTAATGTGGTGTTTGCCTGTCAACAAGCACTTGTACAGGCTGCGAAGATGCGCATGCTCCTCGAACGGTGAGGCATCCTCATGCAGTGTCCCGGCATCTGCGCTCGGGACAGCTGTTGTGCCGGTGTCGCCCAGCAGATGTTTCACGGGAGATTGAGATGGACAGAGGAGCGTGATGCTGCTGGAGTTCAGCTCCTGAGCAAGGAAGCAATATGTTTGCATCTGAGCTATAGTCTAAACTCCAAGTATCCCCCTAAATAACCTCTATAATACTCCCCTATATAATCCCTATACAACCCCCCTTTAAGGAGTTTAGACCCTAAACCCTCAACCCTAAACACGCTAAACCCCTAAACCCTTAAACCCTTAAACCCTTAAAATCCCTTAAACCCTGAACACCCTAAAACCCTAAACCCTGAAACCCTAACCCTAAACACCCTAAACAGGGCATCCTCGTCAGATGCAGCCTGTGCTGTGGAAGGCGATGGTGCAGTCGTACTTGTGCCCTGAGGGTTTAGGGTTTAGGGGCTTTGGGTTTAGGGTTTAGGAGTTTTGGGTTTAAGGGTTTAGGGGTTTAAGGGTTTAGGGGTTTAAGGGTTTAGGGGTTTAGGGTCTCATTTTGAAGTACGCACCCCGCACGCGACCGCCTTTGCCTTTAGGGTATCGCTATCAAAATTGCTACTAGTATCACTACTATGGCTATAATTACAGTTATTACCCTTATTACGTATTGTTACATATGACTACTATGATTACTATTATTACTATGATTACTATGATTACTATTACTACTACTATTTGTCCTGATATCGCTATTATTACTATCATTTCTATTATGACTAGGATTAATATTACTGATATCACTATTAGAGCCATTGTCTAAACTCCTAGTATCCCCCTTAATAACCCCTATAGTAGTCCCCTACATAATCCCCTATATATTCCCCTTTAAGGAGCTTAGACAATGGCTCATTATTCATTATTACGAGTACTACGTCAAAGCCCACCAAGGTGCGGGCCTGGTCCAGCCTGCACAGGCAATTGATCTCAACATGTTCAGGCTCAAGTACATATGGTAAGTCCCTAAATGAGCTATAGTCTAAACTCCTAGTATCCCCCCTAATAACCCCTATAGCAGTCCCCTAGATAATCCCCCTATATAAATCCCCTTAAGGAGTTTAGACTATGGCTCAAATAGGGAGGGTTGAGGGTTTGGAGTTTACCATTTAGGGACCCCAATATAAGCCCCAAAACGCGACAATCCTTAATATTGAGCCCTCCAAAGAGGTACCCCTAATTTGGGGAAACCCCCCTTTCGCTGGGGTGCTATGGAATTGCATAGCACAATGTGTTCCCTGCCCCAGTTGCAAAGACAGCGCACAGGCCCCCTGCTTCTTTCGATCACGCTTTCGCAGTCAGTTATGGCCGATGCGCTGATGCGTATACCGGATTCTTATTTCTTGGGATGACTGTGGGCGCGAACCTACTCTCCCCCAAACCCCTGCAGAAAGTACAGGCACGGCCTGCCTGTGCAGCGCCGAGTCGCTCACAGTTACATCCTGACAAACAAAGATGGTAGCTTCCGGACCCCAAAATAGATCCCAATATATTATAATCCTTACTATGGATACCCGCAAAAAGGTAACCTCAATTTTGGCCAAAGGCATGCAAGGACGGGCCTGTGCGCAGGTTGAGTGGCCATTCAGCAATTGTCCGCTTGCATTGATGTCAGATGCTCACTCGCCCAAGTGGGGGTTTCCCAAAATAAGGGGTACCCTTTTCGGGGTCCCCTTAACAGGGATTCTAGTAGTTTGGGGTCTACCAAAATCAAGGATACCTTTTTTGTGGTCCATAAAAGGGATTATGGTATTTTGGGGTCCATGTTGGGGTCCCCCCTTTTATGGAAACTACCAAATCTAATCTAAACCTTTAAACCCTACACCCTAAGCCCTAAACTCTTAACCCGTCACTTCGACTGTCACATTGGAATGAGAAAGTCGGATACAGGGGTTCTCATGGCCTATGAGGTCGGCACATGCTCGAAGACCCACTGTGGCAACGCATACGATAAAAAGCATGTAGCATATGAGTCCTAGTCTAAACTCCTAGTATCCCCCTTAATAAGCCCTATAACGCTGCCCTATGCAATCCCTTCTATAACCCTCTTCAAGGAGTTTAGACTATAGCTCATGTGTGGCTGCCATGGAGGTAAAAGTTCAACGGTAAACCTTTTCTTGTCAAGGGAGTTGACAGTTCTGACAACAACAGGCCCCTAAACCCAAAACCCTGAACCCTAAACCCAAAACCCTTTGCCGCCACGTCCTCCCAAGGATTGTCGTCTTCTTCG